CCCCAATTCCACAACTTCATCTTCGACATAGTTTTGGAAGATAATTTATTTAAATCTAAGAGCTCCGTTTGTAATTTTTTATAATATCCCAACTCAAACTTTTCTATTGCTTACTGTGTCCATAGATACTCAACCCCTGAAATTCCAAAATATACACATCTCTTAATTACCAACTTTATTTGGAGTTATCAACTCATTCCTCAACCCCAATTCCACAACTTCATCTTCGACATAGTTTTGGAAGATAATTTATTTAAATCTAAGAGCTCCGTTTGTAATTTTTTATAATATCCCAACTCAAACTTTTCTATTGCTTACTGTGTCGATAGATACTCAACCCCTGAAATTCCAAAATATACAGTATAATACAAAAGAGCCAAATTATTGAACCCAAAATATAAACACAACAAGTAACAAAAAAAATATAAGATTAGAAATGAAAGAATCAAGATAATGACAAATAAACCTAATTAATTCTTAGCTTGTCATTCAACAAAGAAGAAAAGAAAAAAAGGAGGGAAATTAAAAAATAAAATTAGAAAGAAGAAAAAGGGAAATTAAAACATAAGTTAAAAAGAAAAAGAAAAGGAAAATTAAAATAAGATAAACAAAAAAAGGAAAAAAAAAAAGAGGGAAATTAAAAATAAAATAAAAAGAAAAAAAATAAACAAAACAAAGAGAGAGAGGGAATGGCAAACAAAAAAAGGGAAATTAAAGAATAAAACTAGAAAAAAAAGGAGGAAAATTAAAAATAAAAATTAAAAAAAAAAAAAAAATAAACATAAAAAGAGAAAGAGAGGCAGCTTTCAGACGGTCAGTCAAGGAATCGAACACACGGCATAATGAATCCTATGAGTACCACTTAGCCAGCTATGTTGAAGGCAATTCTTGGAAAAAAATTGTAGCTCAATAAATATCCAACAATTACAAAAATTGGAGGCCCTAAAAGTTTTTGATTTTTCGGAGGCCCAAGGCGACGGCCTTGCTCGCCTTGGGCTTGGGCCGGCCCTGGCCATTATCCCTTGGGCTTGGGCCGGCCCTGGCCATTATCCACCATATATTTTACCATTTTCAGTCAATTTTACGTTGAAAATTTTGGTATTTATATATTTTTCTCCAAAACATCTAATTGCTTACATTTTTTTTCCTAAATAAAACCTTTTATTTTTGTCATTTTGAGTTTCTTCATTTTTTTTTTCTTTAATGTCTTCCGGTAGTTCAAACATCATAAGATTACAAACATCTTTACAATCCTATTATTGTTGAGAATTTGAACTACCGGAAGACATTTAAGAAAAATAAGAAGAAATTCAAAATGACAAAAATAAAAGGTTTTTATTCAGAAAAAAAAATAAAAAAATCTAAGTAATTAAATGTTTTGAAGGAAAAAATAAAAAAATAAAAATTTCCCAAGTAAAATTAACCGAAAATGTTAAAAAATATAGTGGAAAATGGCTCAAACAAACCCTTATATTTATAGGTTTAGCAGGGGTAATTTCGTCATATTTTGAAAAAAATATAATAGCAGGGG